ACTGCTGGCGCCGTCCAAGGGCAGGAAAAGGGCGATACCTACCCCAGGACTACTGCTGGCGCCGTCCAGGGGCAGGAAAAGGGCTCATTCCGACCCAGGATTACAGCGGGCGCCGACCAGGGGCAGGAAAAGGGCGCTATCCGCCTCAGGACTACTGCTGGCATTGTCTACGGGCTAGAAAGGGGCGCTATCTGCCCCAGGACTACTGCTGGTGCCGTCCAGTGGCAGGAAAAGGGCGTTATCCGCCCCAGGACTACTGCTGGCGCCGTCCAGGTGCAGATAAATGGTGCTATCCGCCCCAGGACAACTGCTGGTGCCGTCCAAGGGCAGGAAAAGGTCGCTATCCACCTTAGGACTACTGCTGGCATTGTCCAGGGGCAGGTAAGGGGCGTTATTCCCCCTGGAGTCCTCCTGGCGCCTTCCAGGGGCACCAAAAGGGTGCTATCTGCCCCAGGACTACTGATGGCATCGTCCAAGGACAGAAAAAGGGCTCTATCTGCCCCAGGACTACTGCTGGCATCGTCCAGGAGCAGAAAAAGGGCGCTATCCGTTCCACGACTTCTGCTGGTGCCGCTCAGGGGCAGGAAAATGGTGCTATCCGCCCCAGGATTACTTCTGTCATAGTCCAAGGACAGGACAATGGTGCCATCTGCCCCAGGTCTACTGTTGACGCCGTCCAAGGGCTGTAAAAGGGCGCTATCCGCCCCAGGACTACTGCGAGCATTGTCCAGGGGCAGGAAAAGGGCGCTATCCGCCCCAGGAATACTGCTGGTGCCGTCCATGGGCAGGAAAAGTGTGCTATTCGCCCCAGGACTACTGCAGGCGTCATCAAAGGGCAGGAAAAGGTCTCTATCCGCTCCAGGATTACTGCTGGCGCCGTTCAGGGGCAGGAAAAGGGTGCTGTCCGCCCCAGGACTACTGCTGGCATTGTCCAGGGGCTAGAAAAGGGCGCTATCCGCCCCATAATTACTGCTGGCGCCGTCCAGGCGCTGGAAAGAGGAGCTATACTCCCCCGGACTACTGCTGGCGCCGTCCAGGGGCAGGAAAAGGGCTCATTCCGACCCAGGATTACAGCGGGCGCCGACCAGGGGCAGGAAAAGGGCGCCATCCGCCGCAGGACTACTGCTGGCATTGTCTAGGGGCTGGAAAAGGGCGCTATCCGCCCCAGGACTACTGCTGGTGCCTTCCAGTGGCAGGAAAAGGGCGTTATCCGCCCCAGGACTACTGCTAGCGCCGTCCAGGTGCAGATAAATGGTGCTATCCGCCCCAGGACAACTGCTGGTGCCTTCCAAGGGCAGGAAAAGGGCGCTATCCACCTTAGGACTACTGCTGGCATTGTCCAGGGGCAGGTAAGGGGCGCTATCCCCCCTGGAGTACTCCTGGCGCCTTCCAGGGGCACCAAAAGGGTGCTATCTGCCCCAGGACTACTGATGGCATCGTCCAAGGACAGAAAAAGGGCTCTATCTGCCCCAGGACTACTGCTGGCATCGTCCAGGAGCAGGAAAAGGGCGCTATCCGCTTCAGGACTACTGCTGGCATTGTCCAGGGGCTGGAAAAGGGTTCTATCCGCCCCAGGACTACTGCTGGCATCGTCCAGGAGCAGGAAAAGGGCGCTATCCGCTCCAGGACTACTTCTGGCGCCGTCCAAGGGCAGGAAAAGGGCGATACCAACCCTAGCACTACTGTTGGCATTATCCAGGGGCAGGAAAAGGGTGCTATCTGCCCTAGGACTATTGCTGGCGCCGTCCAGGTGCAGGAAATGGGCGCTATCCGCCCCAGGACTACTGCTGGCATTGTCCAGGGGCTGGAAAAAGGCGCTATCCGTCCCTGGACGACTATTGGCGCCGTCTAGGGGCAGGAAAAGGGAGCTATCCGTCCCAGGACTACTGGTGGCATCGTCCAAGGACAAGAAAATGGCTCTATTTACCCTAGGACTACTGCTGGCATCGTTCAGGGGCAGGAAAAGCGCGCTATCTGCCTCTAGACTACTGCTGGCATCGTCCAAGGGCATGAAAAGGGCTCTATCCGCCCCAGGATTATTGCTGGCGCCTTCCAGGGGCAGGAAATGTGCGCTATCCGCCCCAGGACTACTCCTGGCATTATCCAGGGGCAGGAAAAGGGCGCTATCCACCCCAGGACTACTGCTGGCATTATCTCGAGGCAGGAAAAGGGCGCTATCCACCCCAGGACTACTGCTGGCATTATCCAGGTGCAGTAAAAGTGCCCTATCCGCCCTAGGACTACTGCCGGCATTTTCCAGGGGCAGGAAAAAAGCGATATCCACCCTAGGACTACTGCTGGCAATATCCAGGGGCAGGAAAAGGCGCTATCCACCCTAGGAATTATGCTGGCAATGTTCAGGGGTAGGAAAAGGGCGCTATCCGCCCCAGGACTACTGCTGGCGCCGTCCATAGGCAGGAAAAATGTGCTATCCGCCCCAAGACTACTGCTGGCATTGTCCAGGGGCTGTAAAAGGGCTCTATCCGACCCAGGACTACTGCTGGCATATTCCTGGGACAGGAAAAGGGCTCTATCAGCCCAAGAACTACTGCTGGCCTTGTCCAGGAGGCAGGAAAAGGGTGCTATCCGCCCAAGAACTACTGCTGGCATTGTGTAGGGGCAGGAAAAGGGCGCTATCCGCCCCAAGACTACTGCTGGCATTGTCCAGGGGAAAGAAAATGGTGCTATCTGCCCCAAATCTACTCCTGGCAGCGTCCAGTGGCAGGAAAAGGGTGCTATCCGCCCCAGGACCACTGCTGGCATCGTTGAAGGACAGGAAAAGAGCTCTATCTACCCCAGAACTACTGCTGGAATCGTCCAGGAGCAGGAAAAGGGCGCTATCTGCCCCAGGACTGCTGCTGGCATTGTCCAGGGGCTGGAAAAGGGCGCTATCCGCCCCAGGACTACTGCTGGTGCCGTCCAAGGGCAGGAAAAGGTTGATATCAACCCCAGAACTACTGCAGGCATTATTCAGGGGCAGGAAAGGGCGTTATCCGCTCCAGAATTACTGCTGGCATTGTTCAGCGGCAGGAAAAGGGCGTTATCCGCCCCATGACTACTGCTGGCGTTCTCCAGGTGCAAGAAAAGGGCGCTATCTGCCCCATGACTACTGCTGGCATTATCCAGGGGCATGAAAAAGGCTCTATCGGCCCCAGGGCTACTTCTGGCGCCTTCCAGGGGCATAAAAAGGGCGCTATCCGCCCCAGGACTACTGCTGGCGATGTCCAGAGGCAAGAAAAGGGCTCTATCAGCCCCAGGACTACTGCTGGCATCGTCCAAGGACAGGAAAAGAGCTCTATCCACCCCAGAACTACTGCTGGAATCGTCCAGGAGCAGGAAAAGAGCGCTATCCGCTCCAGGACTACTTCCAGCATTGTCCAGGGGCAAGAAAAGGGCGCTATCTGCCCCTGGACTACTGCTGGCAATGTCCAGGGGCAGGAAAAGGGCGCGATCAACCCTAGGACTACTACTGGCATTGTAGATGGGCTGGAAAAGGGCGCTATCCGTCCCAGGACCACTGCAGACGCCGTCCATGGGCAGGAAAAGGGCAATATCCAACCCAGGACTACTGCTGGCATTATCCAGGGGCAGGAAAAGGGCGCTCTCTGCCCCAGAACTACTGCTGGCATTGTTCACGGGCAGGAAAAGGGCGCTATCCACCCCAGGACTATTGCTGGCGCCGTCCAGGTGCAGGAAAAGGTCGCTATCCGCCCCATGAATACTGCTGGGATGGTCCAGGGGCAGGTAAAGGGTGCTATCCGCCCCTGGACTACTCCTGGCGCCGTCCAGAGGCAGGAAAAAGGTGCTATCCGCCCCAGGACTACTGGTGGCATCGTCCAGTAGAAGGAAAAGGGCGCTATACCTCTCCAAGACTACTGCTGGCATTGTCCATGGGCAGGAAAAGGGCGCTATCTGTCCCAGGACTTCTGCTGGAATTGTCCAGGGGCAAGAAAAGGGCGCTATCCACCCTAGGACTACTGCTGGCATTGTTCTGGGGCAGGAAAAGGGCGCTATCCGCCCCAGGACTACTTCTGGCGCCGTCCAAGGGCAGGAAAAGGGCGATACCAACCCCAGGACTACTGCCGGCATTATCCAGGGGCAGGAAAAGGGCGTTATCCGCCCCAGAACTACTGCTGGCATTGTTCTGGGGCAGGAAAAAGGGCGCTATCCGCCCTAGGACTACTGCTGGCGCCGTCCAGTGGCAGGAAAAACACCATACTCATTTATATCTGTCTCTCTGTGTCAGTCTGAAGGTGTTGAGTAGTGTAGATTGTGACAGTGATGAAAGTCGTGTGTGTAGTGTAGATGGTTTTAGTGATGAATGTTCTGTGTAGTGCCTTATGGCTTGTGTCACCATAGGTAATATTACCGTATGTATATGTCTCACTATATATAATGTTCTGTGTAGTGCCTTATGGCTTGTGTCACCATAGGTAATATTACCGTATGTATATGTCTCACTATATATAATGTTCTGTGTAGTGCCTTATGGCTTGTGTCACCATAGGTAATATTACCGTATGTATATGTCTCACTATATATAATGTTCTGTGTAGTGCCTTATGGCTTGTGTCACCATAGGTAATATTACCGTATGTATATGTCTCACTATATATAATGTTCTGTGTAGTGCCTTATGGCTTGTGTCACCATAGGTAATATTACCGTATGTATATGTCTCACTATATATAATGTTCTGTGTAGTGCCTTATGGTTTGTGTCACCATAGGTAATATTACCGTATGTATATGTCTCACTATATATAATGTTCTGTGTAGTGCCTTATGGCTTGTGTCACCATAGGTAATATTACCGTATGTATATGTCTCACTATATATAATGTTCTGTGTAGTGCCTTATGGTTTGTGTCACCATAGATAATATTACCGTATGTATATGTCTCACTATATATAATGTTCTGTGTAGTGCCTTATGGTTTGTGTCACCATAGGTAATATTACCGTATGTATATGTCTCACTATATATAATCATCAATCAAGATGCCATCGTCATCAAGTGTGCCCCTGAGAGATGCCATCGTCATCAAGTGTGCCCCTGAGAGACCAATTCCCTTGTCTTTATCTCCCAGCAAACCACAAATCATATTTTTCAAGCTTTTCAAATTTATTCGGAACATGTTTCATGCAAATGAAAGATTTATATGCACCTCGGCCTCTCCTTTACAGGACCGGATGGTATATTGCGCCAGTGTTAGAGGAGCACCTCGGCCTCTCCTTTACAGGACCGGAGGGTATATTGCGCCAGTGTTAGAGGAGCACCTCGGCCTCTCCTTTACAGGACCGGAGGGTATATTGGGCCAGTGTTAGAGGAGCACCTCGGCCTCTCCTTTACAGGACCGGAGGGTATATTGCGCCAGTGTTAGAGGAGCACCTCGGCCTCTCCTTTACAGGACCGGAGGGTATATTGCGCCAGTGTTAGAGGAGTTTGCTTAAAGGGATTGTTTGTGAGTCGTCGACAAGGTGTACACACCTTGACAACTTATTCATGAAGTTGTGGCCACTGGAGTGCTTTGACAGTATACACTCATATACATGCATGTAAATACACTCACACACACACTCACACACACAGACTCACACACACACACACACACACACACACACACACACACACACACACACACACACACACACACACACACACACACACACACACACACACACACACACACACACACACACACACACACACACACACACACACACACACACACGGTCTCAATGTGTGTGTGTATTTGACATCACAACGTGTGGGGATGTGAAATGTTGAGCTCCGTCTCCATAGACTTGTACTTCTGTATAACAGATGGCAGATTTGTAGCTGCACTAATGCAGATGTACCTAATATGTTAATAAAAAAAAAAAAGGCAGATTTGCATTCCAAGAGAAATTATTTCGTTACAGTGAGGGAGACAGTGTATAAGGTAAATTGTTACAAGGAGGGGGTGGGGTGGAGAGGGACATCATAGGGGAAGGCGGAGTGTGGAGCCTAGAGGGGCGGGGAATGTGGAAGACAAGGTGAGGCTGGTTGGGCATGATGTAGTACCAGTTCCACCTCGATATTGCCCGCTACTCCATCTAGTTTATATATATATATATATATATATATATATATATATATATATATATATATATATATATATATATATATATATATATATATATATATATATATATATATATATATATATATAAATATATATATATATATATATATATATATATATATATATATATATATATATATATATATGTGAGAAAGCTGCATGAACGCGCAAGCCATGTATCACTAAGAACTCTTTGACCCGGCCAGGATTCGAACCCATGCCGTCCAGGATCACCCCTAAACGTACACAGTACCGTGACCACCGCACCAATGATCGTCTATAAGGATTAGTCAGTCTTGGCGCTTATTAACTAAGCTCCCTGACTGACCAATCCCCGACGACACTCATGGATCCATTTGGGTACAGTTTTTCATACTGTAAACTGTTTTTCATACCCGTACTGTTTTTTATACCCGTGCATGCGCCAGAATTTGATGAAAAACTGTACCCAAATGGATCCATGAGTGTCGTCTGGAGAACACACACTTATATAACAATATAACAGTGATCGAAGACCACGTCCAGCTCTTCTGAGGTCGTGTGCTCTCTCTCTCAGAGAGAGAGAGAGAGAGAGAGAGAGAGAGAGAGAGAGAGAGAGAGAGAGAGAGAGAGAGAGAGAGAGAGAGAGAGAGAGAGAGAGAGAGAGAGAGAGAGAGAGAGAGAGAGAGAGAGAGAGAGAGAGAGAGAGAGAGAGAGAAATAGAGAAATAAATAGATAAATATTTGTAAAATATAAAAAAAGTTGTGAGTCGGGAATGAAGCCGACTACACTACCGGGACCCTATATGAAAGGAGTGAATAACATTAACCTTTGTGACACTTTTGTGACACTTAAATCGCCATATATATATAGCGGGGATTCCCAGCACTTCCGTTTGAGGGACAGCAGCCATTTATGAAACAGTAGAGCTCAAGAGGGGCTCAATGGGGCTTTATGAATATCATCGTATATGTAAATATATATTCAGTTAAACACTAAAGCACTAAAACATATCTTGCTAGGAAGTGAATCTCATACACTGCTATTGTGTGTTCTTATTTGTGCTTTATTTCTGATACTTTGTTTATTATATTGATAATTAATAAGGTGTAATTTATTAATATTCATAATTAATCATTTATTAATATTGCTATTTAATAATTAATTGATTTTGATAATAATTTTATATTTATTATTATTCTAATTGTCATATTATTATTAGTATTATTAAATATTTTCAACTTTTGTTTACTAATTAAAATATATTAAATGTAACTCTTTTTTATTTAAATTTAAAATAAACGAGTAAATACAATTTGAATAATTCTGTAATAAAAATTTGAAATACTAATACAGAAGATTTTTTTATCTCCTGTTGATACAACTGTATGCTGTAGTTGGGAGTCTAAATTGGTGTATCTTTTGTACTTCACACACACACCCTCAGCAGACAGTCACCCTCAGCAGACAGTCACCTTCAGCAGTCACCCTCAGCAGACAGCCACCCTCAGCAGACAGTCACCCTCAGCAGACAGTCACCCTCAGACAGTCACCCTCAGCAGACAGTCACCCTCAGCAGACAGTCACGCTCAGCAGACAGTCACCCTCAGCAGACAGTCACCCTCAGCAGACAGTCACCCTCAGCAGACAGTCACCCTCAGACAGTCACCCTCACCAGACAGTCACCCTCAGCAGACAGTCACCCTCAGCAGACAGTCACCCTCAGCAGTCACCCTCAGCAGACAGCCACCCTCAGCAGACAGTCACCCTCAGACAGTCACCCTCAGCAGTCACCCTCAGCAGACAGCCACCCTCAGCAGACAGTCACCCTCAGACAGTCACCCTCAGCAGACAGTCACCCTCAGCAGACAGTCACCCTCAGCAGACAGTCACCCTCAGCAGACAGCCACCCTCAGCAGACAGTCACCCTCAGCAGACAGCCACCCTCAGCAGACAGTCACCCTCAGCAGTCACCCTCAGCAGACAGTCACCCTCAGCAGACAGCCACCCTCAGCAGACAGTCACCCTCAGACAGTCACCCTCAGCAGACAGTCACCCTCAGCAGACAGTCACCCTCAGCAGACAGCCACCCTCAGCAGACAGTCACCCTCAGCAGTCACCCTCAGCAGTCACCCTCAGCAGACAGTCACCCTCAGCAGACAGTCACCCTCAGCAGACAGTCACCCTCAGACAGTCACCCTCAGCAGTCACCCTCAGCAGACAGCCACCCTCAGCAGACAGTCACCCTCAGACAGTCACCCTCAGCAGACAGTCACCCTCAGCAGACAGTCACCCTCAGCAGACAGCCACCGTCAGCAGACAGTCACCCTCAGCAGACAGCCACCGTCAGCAGACAACCACCCTCAGCAGACAGTCACCCTCAGCAGACAGCCACCCTCAGCAGACAGTCACCCTCAGCAGACAACCACCCTCAGCAGACAGCCACCCTCAGCAGACAGCCACTTAGGCCCCCAGCTAATGGATCCATCCCAAGCCACGAGGGAAGTCACGACCACTTAACACTTTACTTATATGAAATTGGGTGGTCGCCAGAGGTACAATCTTCAATTAAACTCAAGAAGTTATTACAGGCACTAATTTGGTCCTCATTCCTGCCTGCCCGGCTCGGCCTCTCAACAAATTTAGTTCAGAAAACATACCACATAACTACACATTTATATTTCCTTTATGTTGTCATAACATTGCTACAGCTTTGTCACAACATTGTCACAACATTGTCACAACATTGTTAAATAATTGCTGCAATGTGATTTGAAAACCGCTCCCCCAGCATGGACTAAAATAATAAAATTCCTGTTATTTTGAAGAGAGAGAGGGAGAGAGGGAGAAAACCAGAGAGAGAGAGAGAGAGAGAGAGAGAGAGAGAGAGAGAGAGAGAGAGAGAGAGAGAGAGAGAAAAGAGAAAGAGGAGGAGCAGTCAACCAGGAATATTTGACAGACAAAAGTCATCAACAACTGAGTTACCATTGACCTCTTTATCACGAATAAGGTCCTCAAAAAGTGCATTAGTGTTTTATAAAAGGTAATGTTGGTAGCAATGAGATGATACTCAGCCCCATAACTGTAAAACTCTCATAAAAACGAAACATGAACAGTTGCATTAACACCATCTCGATAAAATTATTGTTCGTTGGAAGGTGGTTAGTGTCTACGTCTTTCCTGAAATTGTGGTTCAAAGTCTGCATGTTTAAAAATATTTCTGAAATAAATGGAGAAAAAAATGCAAAGAGCGATTGTAACAGTGTAGGGGTTAATGAGTCATATATCTGTGGCACTGTGTCAGTTCCTAGCCAGATAACAGAATATTATATACATATATATATATATATATATATATATATATATATATATATATATATATATATATATATATATATATATATATATATATATACTCATCAGAAATCTTATTTAGGATTCAGTCATAAAAAAGCAATACATTTTCATAGTTTGATTTAAAAGTAACTAAAAGAAAGACAAAAGCATGTCTCCAAATAATACTGAGAAAAAAGTCTCCCGGATGGTCTCCCCCCCCCTCCCTTTCCTTGTCGGATTAAATACTATAATAGTGATCTCCGACAATTAAAGCAGTCATCATGTCACTGCATATACCAGTCAGTAGTCATCATACCACAACACTAATTAATAATATCTCCTGCTTGTCAGTGTAAAATAATATCTCCTGGTCCTCAGTGTAAAATAATATCTCCTGGTCGTCAGTGTAAAATAATATCTCCTGGTCGTCAGTGTAAAATAATATCTCCTGGTCGTCAGTGTAAAATAATATCTCCTGGTCGTCAGTGTAAAATAATATCTCCTGGTCGTCAGTGTAAAATAATATCTCCTGGGTCGTCAGTGTAAAATAATATCTCCTGGTCGTCAGTGTAAAATAATATCTCCTGGTCCTCAGGTCCTGGTCCTCAGTGTAAAATAATATCTCCTGGTGTAAAATAATATCTCCTGGTCCTCAGTGTAAAATAATATCTCCTGGTCCTCAGTGTAAAATAATATCTCCTGGTCCTCAGTGTAAAATAATATCTCCTGGTCCTCAGTGTAAAATACACAACAGTTTGATCTTCATCATTCCCCACTCCAAAACTTCTCCCACAAGACTGTAAATGTTATCAAATTTCCTGTATTAATTCCCCCCTAATGGGTCATTCTCATTGTCTAATGAGTCACTAGGTCTCCATTAACCCCATAAATTAAGAAAAACTGTGTAATATGAAACAGAGAGCATATATATAAATCACGTGCCTGCAGGAACGGGAAGACCTCGGTGAACCCCATAAAAATCACGTCTCCAACAAACTAGGTTATAATTGAACAAATCCACAATGGCCGTGATGAGGGTTCGAACTTACGCCCGAGATGATCCCAGATGCACCTTAGTCAAACTAAGTCGTTTTATCCATGTCGTGGCACAGTTGACTAAGGCGCGTCTGGGATCATCCCGGGCGTAGGCTCGAACCCTCATCACGGCCCTTGTGGATTTGTTCATTTGATATATCATGCTATTGTGATTTCTGTGTGTATAGGTTATAATTACTATAAGCAACCTCGTATTGCTGTGAAAGTTGTAGAGGTTTCGTTACTGGTTGTGTAAAATACTTGATGAATACTGGTCTCTAGTCATCAGTAGCTGGCCTAGGAAGCTTAACTAGAACTGGAAGGTTAACGCACGTGGATGTAAAACCATTGGCTAATCGTGTTCAAGGGAAACACGAGCACAGAAATAAGCTGCCTTATTCCTAAACTTGACCCAAGACCTACAACACAGCATAAATAGTGGTCAAAAATTATCATTAAAACAAAATTGAGAATGAACGTAATGTTTAAAAAAAGTAGAACTGTCCAAATCGCACGTCAATAGTTTTAAACGTAAATAAATATCATATATTAATTAAAGTTTTAATTAGTCTCTTTGAAAACAGTATGAACAAAGAACAAAAAATAATGTAAAGCCTATTTCTGTACGCGCTTGTTATACATACAACTTCCTAATTTATAATTAAAATACAGTAAGTCGAGAAAAAAATTCTGTATTCATATTTGAGACAAAAATGTATTAAACTCGTTACATGTTAATTATTTATGAAAAGAATATCACACACACACACACACACACACACACACACACACACCACACACACACACACACACACACACACACACACACACACACACACACACCACACACCACACACACACAGACACACACACACACACACACACACACACACACACACACACACACACACAAGACAGACACACACACACACACACACACACACACACACACACACACACACACACACACAGAACACACACACCACACACACACACACACACACACACACACACACACACACACACACACAGACAGACAGACACACACACACACACACACACACACCACACACACACACACACACACACACACACACACACACACACACACACACACACACACACACACACACACACACACACACACACACACACACACACACCACACACACACACCCTAGGGGGGGCCTCGTAGCCTGGTGGATAGCGCGTAGGACTCTTAATTCTGTGGCGCGGGTTCGATTCCCGCACGAGGCAGAAACAAATGGGCAAAGTTTCTTTCACCCTAAGTGCCCTGTTACCTAGCAGTAAATAGGTACCTGGGAGTTAGTCAGCTGTCCACGGGCTGCTTCCTGGGGTGTGTGTGGTGGGGGAAAAAAAAAGTAGTTAGTAAACAGTTGATTGACAGTTGAGAGGCGGGCCGAAAGAGCAAAGCTCAACCCCCGCAAAACACAACTAGTAAACACACACACACACACATATATATATATATATATATATATATATATATTATATAAGACAGCTACCAGTCCCCTGACAAAATAAATTATTATTTGTAAATTTTTACCTGAGGATGGGTTTGGGTCGGCCGCAATACTTCACCAGGACGCAACCCAATCACAGTTGGCTTACTCCCGGGTATATCCCTATTTACTGCTAGGTGAACAGAGACATCAGGTAGAAGGAAGATTCCGCTAGACCAACCACTGTGGCGTTCCCAGCTGTGGTGGTTCACCAGGGGAGTCTCCAAGCTGGACCCCACAACCATTGAGGTGAGGGGGGTGGAGTAGGGGGTTAGGGTGATGGTGGGGGATGGGGTGATGGGAGGGGGTGTTGGGAGGGGGAGGGGAGGGGGTGTTGGGGGGGGAGGGGGAGGGGGTGTTGGGAAGGGTGTAGGGAGGGGGGGGGGGGACTGTACGAAAGATATTTGTGAACCAATTTCAGTTTCTCTTTCTCTTCATATACCTTCATCCTGGTTTATGGCTCACCCCCTCACGAAGATAAGAAGCGGCACAGTGACGATAATGGAGGTGTACTCTTCTTGTCGAAAACTAAAACAAAAATACGAAGAAATGATCAAATTATGTGAAGAAATGAGTGATGAATTTTGCTGGTCCTTCAATGTTAGGCTCCAGCCAATCTTGGTAATCGTCGTTCAGCGCCAAATTGCTCATTGATCATCCATTCCCCTCCCCCCCCCCTTTTCCTTTCCCCTCCCTCCCTTCCCCATTCCCTCCCTCTCTTTTCTCCCTCCTTCTCCCTTCCCCTCTCCCCAGGAGGATTATTTTTGATTCGGTAATTATCGTACACGTGTTGTGTGCAGCCGGCGACGAACACAGGACTAGTGGCCCCGACGGTGACAGGAAGCCCTGAGGGCCACCACCTCTAGTGGCCCCGACGGTGACAGGAAGCCCTGAGGGCCACCATCTCTAGTGGCCCCGACGGTGACAGGAAGCCCTGAGGGCCACCATCTCTAGTGGCCCCGACGGTGACAGGAAGCCCTGAGGGCCACCATCTCTAGTGGCCCCGACGGTGACAGGAAGCCCTGAGGGCCACCATCTCTAGTGGCCCCGACGGTGACAGGAAGCCCCTGAGGGCCACCATCTCTAATGGCCCCGACGGTGACAGGAAGCCCTGAGGGCCACCATCTCTAGTGGCCCCGACGGTGACAGGAAGCCCCTGAGGGCCACCATCTCTAATGGCCCCGACGGTGACAGGAAGCCAGCAACTTATCAAAGGTCCTTCCCATTATTCCTCTAAACAAGTTACGCGGACTTTTGCTATGTCAAACTTGATCAGACAATTATATTTTCATTCGATCAGGTAAACTAGGTTCACAAAATTACGGTTTACTGGGAAACTGTGATGCAGTTAAGGTCATTACTGTGTAAAGGGTTCATAGCAGGGGGCCAGCATTCCCCAAGCATTTACTCAGATACTTTCTAAGCCTGTAAATCTTCCCTCAGTCATGGCGGCTGTGTTTACATATATTAAACAGTTTACGAGCCTTGGGAACTTCACAACCCAAGGTTATTATTGTTATATACAACCTCGTAGTGCTTCCGTGCTCATAAACTGTATATTAAACGTAAACCAAGCCGCCATGATTGAGGAAAGATGAACAGGTTTCGTAAGTGGTTGAGTAAATG